GGCTATTATAAGCAACTGTATGCAAAGAAATAGGAAAACCTACTAAAAATGGATACATTTCTAGACACATCCAGCCTACCAAGATTGAACCATGATGAAATCCAAAACCTGAACAGACCAATAAGAAATAATGAGATCGAGGAGTAATAAAAAGTCTCCCAGGAAAGAAAAGTCTGGGACCTGATGCTTCACTGCTGAATTCTACCAAACATTTAAAGAAGAACTCATACCAACCTTACCCAAACTATTCCAAAACTAGAGACCTTACCCAACCATTCCAAACTCATTCTACAAGGCCAGCATTACCCTGATACCAAAACCAAAGATACATCCAAAACAGAGAACTACAGGCCAATATCACTGATGAATATTGATGCAAAAATCCTCCACAAAATATTAGCAAATTGAATTGATCAACACATTAAAATTGGGGTGCAGTGTCCCAGGTTCACTCAACCCTTCCCCTTTTGCTGTGAGTGTGTCTACTTTGGCTGTGCTCCCAGGTGGCAGCGGTGGTGGCAATGTTGGCGCGTGGGACTCCCAAGACAAGGGGAAAGTGAGTATGCCCTTCTCACCTCCTGCCAGGGGTCTGCAGCCTGGCACCAGCTCTGGCCAGGTCTTCAAGCAAGGGACCTGGAGATGTTCTTTCCTAATTTTTGGATTGGGAAATGGAGGCAAATTCTGGGTACTAGAGTCAGAACTAAGACAAGACTGAATAGAAGGGGGCCTGGGGTCCTGAGAGGCAGAGACTTGAAACCCTCTAGAGTGTGTGGGGAGCTGGGTGTGTGTTCTGGCCAGTTGCTTCTCCCTGTGCCTCAATGTTCCAGGTACCCTTGGAGGGGCTGAGATGCTGGGGATGCCTGGAGCCTGGCTGCATGGCCTGGCCCCCCTGATGCCCTTGTGTTCTCTATAACAGGCCAGCAAGGCCGAGGAGAAGGTCTCTGAGAGCTTCATGCACTCCATGGACCCACAGTTGGAGCAGCAAATGGAGATCACCCAGAGCCTGGTGGACTCCTATGTGGCCATTGTCAACAAGACCATGTGGGACCTCATGGTTGGTCTCATGCCCAAGACCACCATGCACCTCAGGATCAACAATGTGCATGCACCGCCTCATGGGGGCAGGGGGCTCCTGTGGCACTGGGGATGCAGGTGGCCATGTTGGCTTGGAAGAGATGCCAGCCAGCCCTATGGGACCAGGTCCAGGGAGAGGGGCACGGTCAAGACCAGAGCTGTCCCATAGAACTAGAACGTGGGACTGGGCACAGTGGCCCATGCCTGTAATCCCAGTACTTTGGGAGGCCAAGGCAGAAGGATCACTTGAGCTCAGGAGTTTGAGACCAGCCTGGGCAACATAGTGAGACCTGGTCTCTACAAAAAAATTTAAAAGATAGCTGGGCCTGGTGGTGGCATGTGCCTGTAGTCAACAGGCTAACATTGGAGGATCACTTTGAGCCCAGGAGGTTGAGGCTGCAGTGAGCAGTGATCTCGCCCACTGTATTCCAACCTGGCAGCAGAGTGAGATCCTATATCCAAAAATTAAAAACTGAGTAGACAGGTGTCCTGGTGCCATGATAGGTCCTGGCTCCCCTCTCAGATCTGTGACTTGGACAGGTTACTTTTCTTCTGGGCCTCAGTGTCCCCATCTGAGTGAAAAAAGGCAGTGTGGAAGTGGGTCTTCGAGTCTAAGTGGTGTAGAAGCTACATCTGAAAAGCCACACTTGGGGCTCCAAGCCCAGTGCACAGTCCCAGCAGGGCGTGGCGGGGTGGCCGGGGTGGCACAGGCATCAGGTCCCAACTTCCTTCCCTCTTTGCCCACTCTAAGATCAAGGAGTTCATCTTCTCGGATCTGCTGGCAAACCTGCACTCACGTGGAGACAAGAACACGTTGATGGAGGAGTCGGCAGAGCAGGCACAGCGGTGCAACGAGATGCTGCGCATGCACCACGTGCTGAGGGAGGTGCCCATCATCATCAGTGACATCAACACAACCACCGACAACATGCCCACGGGGACCCATGGACGACTCCTGGATGCAGGTGCAGAGCATCCCAGCTGGATGCAGGTACCAGGGCTGGCCCCCACAGCCCCAAAGCACCCCAGCCTCCATGGCTGAGCCTGTGGGCTCTTGGAACAGGCTCCATTCACAAGCTGGCAGATGCGGGTGCTCTCTGGAGTCATTAGAGAGGGCAGAGAGCTCATGGTTTATGGTCCAGGGGCTGGGAACTTGGAGGGGACTGTATGTGGGGCTGGATACTGAGGCGGTCAGAGGCCTAGGAACATCATCCTGGGCACGCTATACCTGTCATGCAGTCTGAGTCATGCTGCCAGGGCCGGGCATCCAGCTCCCAGCCTGAGAGTGCCGAGAGCCGAATCCACTGCAGAGCAGGGGTGATAGTCAGGGTCCCACCTCCTCTATCTGTCGTCAATCCAGTGGTGATCTGGGATAAAATCTTGAGAGTCCCATACACGTGGTCATCACACAACACACCTCACAGGCCAGGCAGGGACACACAGCCCCCTTCCCTCCCTCCCAGGTACCATCATAGCTGCTAGCATGTGACTGAGGGCAGGGTCCCTGGCCCCCGCTGAAGCACTACCGCTGGCCAGTGGGCTCAGGCACTTTGGCCTGTTGCTCCTAGGGGTCAACTGTGCCATTCAGCCAAGGGGACCACAGTGCCTGTTGGCCCAGCTGAGCTCCGCCTGGCGAGCCCACCCACCTCCCCTGTCCCTGTGAAATCCATCAGGTGTCACCAATCAGCATACAGGTAACAGGCCTGGAAGGTCCCCAACAGCCAAGCTGGACATGCTCAGACACTCTGGGGCTCCTCGTTCAGTGGCACAAACTCCAGCACCCAGTGAGGGAAACGGGAACCCACCAGGCTGAGCAGTATGGCTAAATCCATTTATTCCATAATGAAAAGCAAAATAAACAGGAGTCATATCACCAGGGAGCCACAACCCATCCCCACCTCCTTCCTCTGTCCTGTGCTATCAATAAATAAGTCTCCCAGCCATAAATAATGATTAGAACCTCCTCCCCATATACCAGCTCCAACCTCCATGAGGTACAATACAGGGGGTGACCCTAACCCCTGGAATATACAAAATGTTACACAGATACTATATGTACACTGGGGAAGGGGGGCCACTCCAGCAGCCCGTGCCCTCACCTGCTCTACACTTAGCCCCACTGTCCTGCCTCAGCTGCCTCTCCCAATAAGTAGATGGGAGCCCCCCTGAGGGAAAAGTTGCTTTGGTGAGAGTAGGGAGGCCATCCCAGGCCTCCTCCAAACAAACCAACTCCACCAGCCTCTGGCTCTTAAATAATAAACATCACCATCCAGGAATGTAAGGACTCAGCCCTGGTTAAGGTGGCGAAGGGTCTGGTTGTCTGTGCATCTTAAACCCTCAGGTTAGAAATCGTACCACTGTTAATTAGCCACATTATTTGGTCTGACAGTTTTTCTTTATCATTCTGAAACTGGGTTTATCCAATACCCTGATAAATTCATACAATTTGGAAGAGTCAGTTGAAGGACCAATATTTGTACTCGTTCAGTGAATGCAGGCAAATCTGTTATTTCATCTGTAAAATCATATTATTGCTCTCCTATTAATGTCATATTTAGAAAAGTATCATGAGGATGCCAAATGCTAAAAATGGAGATGGTCTAGTAATAACTAGAGTTTCATTCCCCAGGGTGTGCGCATACAACTCCCCCTATATCCTAACACTGTGACGTATTTGGGGACACAGACATTAGAACTTCATGAAGTTTTAACTGTTGATTCTTTCCCAAGCATCATGAAGTTATGATTTAGACAATGTATGACTGAAATAATTCATTCATCCTGTATAGACACATAACATAAATATGGCACAAAATATGCCTCTAACTGAAACCGAGAGGTATAAAAACATATTTCACTCTTCGTAAAGAACTTTGTGAGGAAATATAACTCTGTGATTGTATAGATACTTTTACTCACAATACTGTGACATTCACCAACAGTAGATTGCATTGCAGTTTGTAAATATTTTAAGTTGCACAAACTTTACCTTGATTTTCAAATGCAGTATAACACTGTCCACTAAAACTGCTTTTTGTTTCAACTAAGTACTGTCACATATATTAGTTTATAAAAATGGTTGTTATTATTTTTAAAGTGTTTTCCATTCAAGGAAAAGAAGTAAATTCCTATGTCAGATTAACCAATGTGGCTGAAGAATAGGTATTAGCCAGAGAGGTCTAGATGGTAAAATCAGTCTTCTAGCCTCAAAGAAGCTCCGTGAACATAGAGGAATGCCAGGTGTCACACAGCTTTCCTTCACTCGAATTCATTCTTGACTAGAGCCTGTATGCCTGTTCCAGGGACATTTAAACTCTGAAAGGGTTTCTTATGATCTTTACTAAATACATTAAGAAGAATGCCAAGCAGTGCCCTTTTGTGTACTGGGACATGTAGTCATGTGATTAAAACAGGTAACATGAACTGTGACTTTAAAATGTATTGTAGATATAAATGCTCTAAGCTAGAAAAGGTTTTCCACATCCACAGTCAATGATGGGAGCCTTTCATTCCTAGGAAAAAATCCCTTTTTAGGTCATTGGGAAAGAGTCCAACCGCTGCAGCTCATGCTGAAATATCTTCATGAGCCCAGAGCACGTACAAATCCTAAGGGAACTACCATAGAACCGCGCTCATTCCTGGCACCAGAACAAATGAAACACACTCTATCCTGCGCACACCTGCCAGAGCAGGCCACTTTCCTCTTCTGTGAGATTTAAAAAGCTCCCCAAAATGTTATCACTCCCATCCCCAATACACAGAAAATAGGGGAAAGGCTGTTTCCAGTTCTTGGCCTTTAAACAACTCTAAATGTCAGTACTCACAGTGGCATGTTACAAAGTAAGAAACAGTGTGCACTTGAGGGCAAACCACATGTTGAGCTAATGAAGAGCTCACTGTGATTAGGATTCAATCAAACATAATAACAGAACATAAGCAAATTTTATCTGAATTCTGTAATGAATATACATGCTGCAATAACATTTAAAAAGCAGGGCAGCCTATTCCAAACCAGTAAGAATAGTTTTGTGCAAATAGTGGGTCTTTGTGTGTTTGAACTCCCACCATGTAAGGGCAAACTCGATATGTGAGCTGATGATCTACAATTATCAATTAAAAACAAAAATGCTAACGGATGCCAGAGTGAACATCAGGGAAAGATCCCTCTCCCTTAACTTTTTATAAATAAAATTAAACTGTAAATTAGAAACATAAATAAACGTGAGTGGCTCTAACATTTCAATGAAGTAGATGAATTATGTAGGGGATTAACCCCATAATTTTGGTTGTTGTTTTTAAATTTCTTGACCAGCTCTCAGATGATGATGATGTTTATCTCTCTGTTCTCAGCTGCCCGGTAAAAGAATGGCACGCAGGGTTTGCTGGCCAAGCCTGGGTGCTCCTGGGTGTCCTGCGTTACAGGAAGCAGCTGCAGGATCTTCTGTGCAGTGGGGTTGTCACGGGGAGAACCCTCCCTGGCCTGTCCCCGTGCAGGCTCCACGCTGTCCTGAAAATCTTCAGAGAGAGGGAGGCGGGGCTCTGAGTACGCTGCGAGCCTCCCCTGCTCCGGCCTGCCCACCCCACCTGAGGGCTCTACTCACCACCCTGCTCCTCCTCAGCCCCAAGTTCCTGGGGGGCTGGGGCCCCTGGAGCGGGCTCATCAAGAAGGTTCTGGGCAGGAGGGAGGAATTTGTCATGCCCCTCGTGGTCGCCCACAACCGGCAACACCATATCTTGCAGCTCCAGTAGCTTCACCTGAAGGGAGGGGTGCTCAGTTACCACGCCTGAGCCGGCGCCAGCACCCACCCTCACCCCCAACCCCGCAGAGATGTTGCACACCCTCTACCTTCATCTCTTCCTCCTTCTGGGCCAGCCTGCTGGCTTCCTCCTCCTTGTGCTGAGTGTTTGGCTCTGCCCCCTGGCTCTCATATACCGTGATGTGCTCTCCTGTGAGGGGACATGGCTCAGACACTGGGGCCCCTCTGAAGGCCCTGCAGCTCCCCGTGCCCGTGCCCTGGCCTCCTGCTTACTCATGCCATCTGTTGCTCCAGAGAGCTGGAAGAATCCAAGCTCTAGTTTCTCCACCTGCTGCTTCCCATCCACCTTCTCCCTCGGGAGGTCCATAAAGCCACTCTGGAGCCAAAATAATAGGGTCACATCATGGGTGTGACCTGTCCTGCCCAACCCCCACTTTTCTTGGCTCATGCCAGGACTCACTCACCTTCACCTCCTCCATGGCCTCCCTCAGGGCCCGGTAGCTCTCCCCACACACAAACTCACCCCCAGTCCCTAGGGCTGGGGCCTCTCCTCTGGCTCCTTCCAGGCCGAGGCCACCAGGTGAGCCAGGTGCAGGCAGCACAGCCTTCACACCTTCCGCTGCCCACATAGCCGTGCCTGCTTCTCCTGGGAACTGGCTCCAGCGGAGTTGAAAATGCCACTTGAAGGCAAGAGCTGAGTATCCTTGTAGGGGCATACACAGAACAAATGGGGCAGGGAGGTGGAGCACAGCCCCTTCCCTTGGGGCCTCAGAGAGTGCACCTGTTGGTCACAGGTGAAGTGGTGTCTGACCACTGGCTCCCGGAAGGGGTGAATGTCCAGAGAAATCAGAAGGCGGGGAAAGCAAGAGCATAAGGGGGTCTGGGAGGGACCACGGAGGAAGGTGGCAAAGTGCGGACAGGGAAAGTCAGACTCACCGTGGCCTCCTGGCTCTCCATGTCCTCTGGGACACTCGGCATAGGCCGAGGCACCCCCTCCTCCTCACTGTCCAGATGTCCTCCTCCATCTCCTGTGGGGAGGTGGCCAGAGGGGTCCTCAGAAAACCCAACAAGGGAAGTACTGTGTGCCCACCTCTGTCCCCACCCTCACTGTGTAACCCTGAGCCAGCCCCTCCCCAGAGGGGAATGAGCTGCTGTTCTTTAGTTTTCCTATAAGATCCAAGATCTTCTATATTGCCCAGGCACAGTCACACTAGCGGTTGGTGTGGGAGTTCTGACCTGCTCCCTTTCTGATCTGGGCCAGTTCACTCATCCTTAGGCAACCTGGGGGCCCCCTGCTCCCAGGAGGTCATCATATTGATGCCGAACTTAGTGCAGACACCCGGTTGGCATAATAACCAGCTGTTCTAAAGGTCTCTTCCAATCCCTCAATCCTATGCTGCTAACAGTCCCCACTTCCTCCTGGGGCTCTCTCCTCTTCCCCTGAGTGGTCTCCTGTACCTTGTCCAGGAAGAGGCATGAGACTCAGCTGGGTCTCCAGCTGTTGGTTCTGCTGGCTGGCAGCTTCTAGGCACTCCTAAGGGAATGGAAAACAGAGTGAGAAGGCACAGAGGTTGCCAGGTCGTCCCCCTCGGGGCCCTGTCCTCAGCGACTCCCTCTCCTGGGTCTCCTGCAACTTTTGGCAGGCCATCTCAGCCACTGCTTTGCCCTGAGCTTCCTGCTGCTGCAGCTGGTCCACAGCTGGGTCTGCAGCAGTAAATGCCTGTGCGGCGCCTGCTTCTCAGAGGTCAGCTGCTAATGGGTGACCATGTACTGCTGCAGGTGACCCTGGTACTAGTCTCACTGCTGCTGCTGCAGACTCTGAGACTCTTGGCTCTTCAGCTGTATCTTCAGGAAGACCCTGGGCATGAGGGCATGTGGTGGTTGGCTTCCAGATTCTGGGCCCATTAATAGGGTAGCGAGGGCACGGTGGGGCTCTGTCACCTGCCCTGGCCCCTTGCTCCAGGCCTAAGAGACTTCCCCCCTTGCCTAGAACCCCATGCCTCCTTCCCCAGCCTCAAATCTCCTGTCCTTCTTCCCACCATTTAAACTGTAGGCCACAGACTGGTGGAAAAGCTGAGGGAGCCAATCACCATCTGCTAAGTGTGCTCCACGCCTAATGCTTTCCATGTGTTCTCTCATTTAATCCCCAGCACCTCCATAAGAAAAATGCTAACTTCCTTTTGAAGTCAAAGAAACAGAGACTTAGAGATGAAAAGTAGTTGAATGGTGACCAGTGGAACCAAGGCCGGAATCCAGTTTGAATCTAAGGAGGCTTTTTTCTTTTGTTTTCAGACAGTGTCACCATGTGGCCCATACTGGAGTGCAGTGGTGCAATCTCAGCTCACTGCAACCTCCACCTCCCAGGCTCAAGTCTCCTGAGTAGATGGGATTACAGGCATGTGCCACCTTGCTGGGCTAATTTTTTGTTGTTGTTATAATTTTAATAGAGATGAGGTTTCGCCATGTTGGTCAGGCTGGTCTCAAACTCCTGACTTCAAGTGATTCTCCTGCCTCAGCATCCCAAAGTGCTGGGATTACAGGCAGGAGCCACTGTGCCCGGCATAAGGACCCTCTTATACCACTGTCTCCACCCCTATGATTGGGGGAATCCATGCCTCTAGCTGGGAAGATGATGTCCAGACCTGGGAGGAGCCCAGGGCTACCCACCTCTAAAATTCAGAGGGTAGGAAGAAAGAAACAGTCATGGAGCTGCCCTGGAAGGTGCTGGGGTCACCTGCCCCACAGCTGGAGCTGCCTTTGGCCTGGCACCTCCCATCCCCAGAGGCTGGTGCCTGCCTCCCAGCCCTTCTTGGATGGGGCAGAGGTTACCATCTCCTTCACCTTGCTCAGCTTCTCCTGCAGCTCCTTTACTTGCTGTTCCAACTGCAGTGTGCTTTTGTTCTTGTTGTTCTGGACAGAGAGAAGCAATCAGTGGCCAGCCACTGCAGCTGGAGACCCCAGAACTTGGTGTCTGCCTCCCATGTCACCGGAAAGGGTGGAGGTAGGTTAGAAAAATTATCCCCTCTTCCCCACAGCCATCAGAGCAGGGCCTGATGAGCTCTGGCTCACGGATGCCTTTAGAAATACCATGTCATGTGAGGGCTACACTGCCCCATTTTACAGGTGGGGAAACAAAGGCCTGGAGGGCTAGGGATGAGGGCAGGCTGCCCAGGTGGGGCAACCCACCAGATCCTCAAAGCTGCACTGTGGCTCGGCCAGTTGCTTGTTGAACTTGTGCTCCTGGGAGAGCGCGAGCCTCTCCTCCTGCATTCGCAGCCTCTTCTCCTGTTTTCGTAGCCTCTCCTCCTTCTCCCACAGCCTGTCTTCCTGCTTTTGTAATCTCTCCTCCTCCTTTCGCAGCCTCTCCTCCTGCTTTCGTAGCCTGTCCTCCTGCTTTTGCAGCCTCTCACCCTGCTCCCCCAGCCTCTTCTGCTTCTCCCGAAGCCTCTCCTTTTGTTCACATAGTCTCTCCTCCTCCCGCAACCTCCTCTCTTCCTGCTCTTGGAGCCTCTCCTCCTGCTTTTGAAGCCTCTCCTGCTGCTCTCGGAGCCTCTCCTCCTGCTCCTGGAGTCTCTCCTTTTGTTCCTTGCTCAGGAGAGTCAAGACCTGATTTTTTTCCATCTGGAATTGGAGCTTTCCCTCCAGACTTTCCACCTCCTTCCTCAGGTGTTTGGCCTCATCTTGTAGATGTTCCACCTCAGAGGTCCCTGCAGGGTCCACCGGGGACGGGGGCTCAGCTGAGAAATGAAGCAGACAATAAGGGCCTCTGGATTCCCCACCCACCACCCCCGCTCAAAGAAAAAGCCCTCCTTTTGATGCAGCTCCTCTCAGGCTTCCCAAACTTGGCCTCACTGCTAATGATTCCTCGAACCCAATGGAAGCCAATTTCCAAGCCATGTCAGATAGAGAGCACTGTGGGTGGCTGACAATGGGCACTCCTTCCTCTTGCCTGACGGGGACCCTGAGGCTCATGGAGATGACAAGACTTGCCAGCTGCTGGCACAGACCTCTTTCCTTCTGCCTCAAAGCCCTTCCATCCACCCACCTCCCTGGGGCACTCTAAGCCACCCCACAGCCCTCTGATGCCAGTCCTGCTCTCAGGTCACACCAGCCCCATGTTACCCATCTGGTGTTTGCGTTCGGACAAGCTCCTCTCCAGCTCCTGTATCCGATGTATGTCACGCTTCTTCTCCTCCTTCAATGTGCGAGCCTGCCCAAAGCACAGGGGGAAAGGGCCCTGGAGAGAGGGGCTGGTGGCTGGACAAGCTACCGTCTCCCTCTCGGCCCCCACCTCCACAAACCCAGACCCATGACCACCTCTAGCTGTACTAGTCCCATGTTACAGATGCCCAGAAAGATCCAGTGACCTATCTAAGGTGGGGGCTGAAGGGTCAGGTCTCACCTCCATCGACATTTTCCACATCCTCTCCTGCCACCGGGCCCTCTCTCCTTTTATATGTTGAGCATATTCATCTCTCTCCAGCTGGACTTGTTTAAGTGACTCTGTCACCTGCAAGAATGGCCACAGGAGTGAGGAAGGGCTGTCACTGGTCCTCACCTGCTCCTGGTCAGCTGGGATCATCTTCCCTCCACATCCCTCCCTCTGCAAAGCCTCACCTGTGTCACGTGTGCGTTCAGCAGCGCCCGCTCCTTTCTGGTCTGATGTAACTGCCGCTGGAGGACGGCTTCACTGCGGCTCGAGGACTGGATGGTGAAGAGTGAGAAGTTTCGATCTGGGGAGCCCGGGCAGTGCCCCTTAAAGGGCTAGGGCTAGGCTCAATGTACAACTCAATCAGTAAAGATCAAGGCATTTCCATGCCCGTGGCCTGGTTTTTAAAAGAACTCAGTAAAGTTGGAAGGGACAGGGAAAGAGATCGAACTTACAGCTGGCTAACAGAGGCCCAGAGAGATCAGATAACATTGCTGTTGTTATTACTGTTATTAATACCACTGTTTGAACCTTTATGGAGTGCTTCACCAGGTTCCATACTAGCAATCCCATGTCATCCTCACAACCACCATATGAGACAGTTACTGGGATTACCTCTATTGTGTAGATGAAAAACATGGAGTGTTCGAGGTTAAGTGCTTGCCCAAGATCACTGAGACAGAGCTGGGATTTGAACACCCAGGTCTATCCGATTCTCTAAGCCCATTTTCCTTGCTGGGGATAGGGGCACAGAAAGGAAGGGGAAATTAATCTTTTGTTCACTTTTTGAAAGGATGATACATTCGCATAGTCCAAAACTCAGAAGGTACACCATGGAAGTGTCTCCCAGCCGCCCTGTTACTCTCTCCTGAGTTTTTTATGAACACTTGCAGACACGTTTTATGTATATTATCATAGTACACGCACACACACACATACACACACACACGCCTTTCCTCTCTCTACAGAAATTGTGAAGTACTAAATGTACTGTTCTGTACCTTCACAGTACAAGTACCCAATACACCACCTAGGCTTTGGCCAAGGCCACAGCCAGGTAAGGGCAGGGCAGGCACTTGGCCTTCAAGCTGTGTGTGCAGTGCTCACTCCCCCCAGTGCCCCTCAACTCACCCGCAGCAGCTGACTCAGCCCCAGGCTGTCTCTAACAACCACACACAATAGCAGCTAGAAATGAGCATGCTGCCTTCTGGGCAGGACACTGCATCCTGTAGAAGGGACCTTTACACTCTCTCCTCCATCTGGGAAGCCGGGCTGCCAGGGGACGGGGCAGTTGGTTGGACTCACCCTGTCCTCTTCCTGCTGCTGTGTAGACAAAGCAGAGAGAGCCCGCTCCAATTCTTGAATACGCTGTAAAGAGTATTGAAGGCGGCCGGCCAGATCCTTGGACTCTTCTGTAATGACAGAGGTTGAGATGGGGCCCAAAGGACTTCCCCTGAAGACCTGTCAAAGTGCCAGGTTGAAGGATGATGGGGTGCCCAGATTCCCACCTTCAAAGTGTCTGGCGGCACGTTTAGTATGGTAAAGGGTGGTCTTCAAGTCTGCCTTTTCCAGCGTGAGGATGTTGATTGTCTGGAATTGAACGTTTGGGAGAAAAGCCAAGCAAGTGCTGAAAGAGAAGGAAAGAAACATTCTCCGGAGGACAGGAGAAAACTCCCCACCCTCCACTCACCTCTAACTGCTCCGTCTGTGCTTTGTGTATGTCATTGTTTGTTTTCTTTTCCTATAGGAAGAGGAAGACAGAGCTCTTACCCGGGGGAGGCAGAGATGGCACAGCAAGAGACATGCCCCCAGAATGCCACCAATGCCCCAGCACAGGCCCACCCATGGGACCAGGTTATCAGGGACCCTGTGGGGATGTGGTGGAATCTGAGGGATCTGCCTTCTTCCCCAGGCTGGCAGTGGGTGAGACTAGACTGGTGCCTCTACATCTGAGTGCCCCCCAAACCCAGCAGTCATGTTGTGAGCAAACAAAGAAATCACATTACTTCTTCCAGCTGATGTTCCACTTGTTTCTTCTGTTGTTTCTGTGGGGAGAGTCAAATTCAGGTGACTGAGGTGGCCCCCTCAACTCTATCCCCCAGGAAGCGGTAGGCAGGGGCCAGGAATGAATTTTAAAGACAACGTTCTCAGACCCAATGGCAACATGAACTGGTCAACTCTCCTCAAGCTCGCAAGGACAGAGGATTTGGGTCTTTGTTGGATTTTGCCCACAGCCACAGAACTCAAAGTCTGAATCTGGATTCTCTCCAAAGGACAGTAACATAAACCTCTAGGGACGGAGTCTGAGAAAGGCCCACCCTCCTGCCAGCTTGTGATTGAGAAAGGTGTGTTCATTCAACAAACATGTACTGAGCACGTACGAGCCAGGTACAGTTCTTCACAGCAGATATAGAATGGAAAAGGACAGACAGGAGCCCTTGGCCCTCAGGTTTACATTCTAGGAGCCTTTAAATCTCAGACTCTCAGAGCTAACCGAGACCTTCACTGCTCTACCTCCTTCGGAAACACCAGCGCAAGGAGGAGAGGTGGCTTGTCCAGACTCAAAGAGCAAATTAGGGACTGAGTCATGGCAGAAATACAGGGACCCTGACAAACCATCAGGCTAGTGCTTCCCTGAGAGGTGACAACCCCAGGGCGTGTGTGGCAAGGACCCGAGCAGGGGTGTCTGGAGAAGAGAGAGTCGGCAAAGGGGGCAGTGACAGAAGAGCCATGCTGCATGCTTCTTGCTCTGGGGTCCCTCCAGGTAAGGCCTGGGTGCTCCAGCTCCCCATTTGCCATTGGCACCAGGGGACCCAGCCCCTTTCTTCAGAGCCCCAAGGATTGGCAGGAATTCCACTAAAGCCCAGGATTGGCAGTGTGGAATCACAGGACCCCACTGGACTCTTACCAGTGATTCTATGTTTTCATAGAGTTGATTGATTGTTGTGGAGCTTGAGTCCAGGGCTACTTCCGGTTCTTGGTTTCGGCTCTGAGGTGCATGCAGAGAGGAGGAGTTGGAGAGGATTATGGGAAGAGGTAGAGAGAACAATCATTAGGGCTGGGGTGTGTGTGGGCTGTCTCAGCTGGCAGAGGGGCACCCAGCCCCCACTGTGAGAGGAGGTTGGAGGGCTGGCCTGCAGGGTCACTGCACCTTGGCTGAGGGCCTCTTACCTCCAGGTCCTTCAGGGTAGCAGATGATGCAGGAGTAATAAAAAAGAGAAATTAAAAAAAAAAAACTTACAGGGAAACAGTTATGGATATAGAGAAAGTATAAAAACAACAAAGGGGCCAGGCACAGTGGCTCACGAATGTAGTCCCAGCACTTTGGGAGGCTGAGGGGGGTGGATCACTGGAAGTCAGGAGTTCAAGACCAGCATGGCCGACATGGTTTCACTGCGTCTCTAATAAAAATCCAAAGATTAGCCGGGTGTGGTGACAGGTGCCTGTAATCCAGGTTACTAAGGAGGCTAAGGCAAGAGAATCACTTGAACCTGGGAGGCAGATGTTGTAGTGAGCTGAGATCGCACCACTGCACTCCAGTCTGGGTAACACAGTGAGACTCTGTCTCAAAAAACAAACAAAAAAAAAATCCCCAAAGCGCACATGCCTGCTCTGTATGTTATTCCCAAGTTACTTTTAAAATTTAAGGTCTCACCATTTCCAAGATGATAAAAGATGCAGGGAAAGAAAAAACCCAATCAATCAAGCAGGTGAAGAAGCAGACATAAACAGGATGAAGGTTAATGGCAGCAACATAAAACAAGGCAGAGGCAAAGTATCTCCCAAACCAGAGAAGCCTCAGGGGCATGCACAGCTGGAAGCAAGCCAGAGAGGGGTCTCCGCACTGCCTCACCTTCCACTTCTGCAATGGGGGAGCGCTACCCCACTGGAATGGGTAAGGTTGGACACCAGCACCTTCAGAATGTCCTGAATCTATAGGAGGGGACAAGGGAAAAACAAGGGCAGGGGGAGAAAGACAGAAGTGGCTTAGAGAGAAACAAAAAAGTCAGGGTAGGAGGAAGATGTGGTTTCAGGAAAATAAAACGCTGAGGAAGAGCAGAGGAGATTGAAACCATGGCCTGTGCCATTCTTCCAAATGGCCACCTGCTGCCTTGCCAGGGGCAGGAACAAATAGATGGAAAAGTTCCCTGAGTGATGCAGTCACAGGGTGGAGTCACCTGACCAACGCAGCTCTTAATATGCTCACTGGACCCCTCTCCTCAGGCCCAGGATGTGGACGATGAATCTGGTAGAGCTCCAGACCTCCACCTCTATTAAAAAACCAGACTCCTGACTAAGGGTTCACTTGAACTAAGGGGGCTCCAGCTAAAAAACAAGTTTGAAAGACACTGATCTTATCCAGTGTCATCTTACAATGGAGAAAACTGAGGCTCAGGGTAAGAAGTGATTTTTCTGTGGTCACCCAGCAAGCTGGTGGCAAGTTAGATCTTCTCTTACTCCTAGTGCCTGGGGCTCTCCTCACCACACCCTGAGCCCCCTTCTGTGACTCCTAAAGGGACAGCTTGACAGCAAGTGGCTGTACTCATTGGCCCAGCTCCCCCTTGAGACTAGGGATCAGGAAAATCAAAGAGCAGGAAAATCAAAGAGCAATGGCCATTTCCTGGGTATCTTGGGTGTTCACAGCAGGACATGTACTAGGGATTAACATAAAAACAACAACAATATGGAATATCATTTAAACTTCAGAAATGAAAATCAAACAACACTACCCCTATTTTACAGATGTGAAAAGAGGCCCAAAGAACTCTAGCAACTTGCCATAAATCAGATCCCTAGCCAATGGAGAGGCAGGATTCAAACCCAGAATTCTTAACCAGTACCCAGCAATCTTAACAATTACCCTCTACCGCCCCCTTGGGCCCCCTGTCCCCAGGAGCCTGGCCAGCCAAGACTCACATCCCCAGGTAAGTGGCAACCACCAGAAGTGGTTGTCTCAGGGCTACTGCCAGTTTTCTTCTTTTTTGTCTTCACTCCTGCTGGAACACCACGGCTGTTCCTCTGCTGATATTCTTTTAGCTGTGGGAAAGAAGAGCAGTAATACTCATGAGAACTACCAGCCCCTACAGCCATATCCCCCTTTACAGTTTTTCAAAATACTCTTATACACCATCTGACTTAATGCCACCAACAACTGTACAAGGTGTTTTCACAATCACTTACTGATTGAGAGGGATGGATATTATGGCTAAAAAAAAGGGAGGGAGGGCAATAATGGGACTTAAATTCAGTCTTCTGACTCCAAGCTCTGGGGTTTTGCCATGAATCAGCAGCTGGCAGAGACCAAAATCAGAGCCAGAGGTAGAAAACTAAACATTAAGTAGGCAGGAACTGCACACTGTGTGGTTTGGAGTCACACATCCTCACATGTCTGTAAGTCTGAAGAAGTGCACCAGGACCTCTCAGACTTTTATATGCATGTGTCCTCATGGCAGAAGGCAGCGTTTTTGTTAAATCTGGGAATTTATCAGAAAGAGGACAACCCAAGTCTCATTTCAGAGAGAAGCCTGGTATACTCTTAGAAACATATGTGACTGTCATCCCTAAGCACATTAACGTTTTTTCTCTCTCAAGAGAATCAAGGGAAACTGATGCTTCAGAAAGATCTCCCACATTTATCCTGTGGCACTCAAAGTACCCCAAGTTGAGATGATATGAGGAAGATTCAAGCTGTCAAGTTCAGTTTCCCAAGATCTATTCCACAGAAGATAAGCAAATCTCACTTCAGAGACCACTGACTGAAGGGCAGTCTGGTCCCAGAACTGTGGAGAATTAGAATATGAGGTGGAGAACTCAGAAAAATATGTTAAAGTCTCTCTGGAGAGTAGAAGGCTGGGAGAAAACCAAACCAAACCCATTCTCCCATTGCCACCCAGAGATACTGTCAACATTTAATCTCACAGGGGAAGTGTAGGCTTTTCACAAAGTCAATGTCTATGCGAAGGGAGTAAGGCGACCTGAAACCTGTTGCTCATAAGTCCCATAGTCCCCATTCCCCTTCCAGGTGGAAATTTGTGCTGTGACCAGAGGAACCAGAAATGGGGCGAGAATGCTTAGGGCACTGTGTTGTAAGATGAAAGTCCAGTCTTGCAGCAGTAATGACAGTTCCTAGGGGGACTGTGACATCACTACATTCCACTCCTCCTGGGGGTGGGGGGAACCACATCAGTGCAATGGCTGAGTTGCTGACCCATAATGGGGGAGTGGGACGTAGGGCTGGTGCCTAGGTCCTTGGAGATGCCAGTCCAAAGAGCCCAGGGAGGTCAGGCTTGGGTCAGCAGGAGGGGAGAGTACAGTCTGCAGCAGGAAACCCCAGGAGTCACCAGCCCAAAGTCACCCGGGGATGACGCGATGGTGGGGGGCTGGGGCTGGGGGACCCAGGTCCTCCGACAGCTGAGCCCAAAGAACCCAGGGAGGTTGGGTTTGTGGCAGCAGGACGTGAGGGGTGAGTATAGAGCAGGGAGCCCCAGGAGTCACTTCCCAAAAGTCACCATGGAGTGACTGGCGAGGGCAGAGGCTGAGCTGCTTGCTGAGGGGGCAGGGCTGACCGATGAGACTTTGGTGGGGGGAGCCCAGAGGTGCCAGGGTTAGGGGGCCCAGCCCAGTGTGCCTCAGGAGTGGTATGTACTCTGGCAGTGGTCTTGTCATTGGAGGGTATCTCTGGCTAGGTTGGGGGGCCATGACCTGTTGTGTCTTACCTTTTTCTTGGCTGCTGCCAATTGACTTTGTCGAGTCTCTTCTAACATCATGGGGTGGGGAGGGAGGCAGGGTTGGGGCCACATCAGCGAACACCTCCAGTCACCTACCAGGCGGCTGTGTGACTGAGCCAGAGGAGGCGTAACCAGGGCCCCACTAGAATGCAGAATGGGGGCGTGGCCTTAATTCTCCAAGCCCATTGGTCAATGAGAAAGATGAAAGGGAAAGGAGGCGTGGCCAGGGAGCAGTGTGCCCAGAGGAACCTGTGGCATCACAAGGAAAGCTGCCCACACAACTGCTGTCCCCGCCCACTTGGGGAGAGGGGCGGGGCCTGCCTACTCCTGGAGGGGGGTGGGGTGCTGGCTTTTTGCTTTAAAACGTTAAAAATAAATTTTAAAAAATATATGTGTTTATACTCTAAATATATGTGTGTCAGTGTGTGTGTGTCTACATGTTCCTCCAGAGCTCTCTTCATTATCCAGCTTCTATGCATGGTCTATGATTTTAGCCTACATTTTTCATCTTCAGATGGAGTACAAGAATTACCAGTATTACCTCAATTGAGACAAATCCTATAAAAATGGAAAATCCATAGCACGTTTGATGATTAATGAAGTGGACTATATTATCCAACATTCCAAAAAGGTAAAATAATCACAATGATTTCTCTTTTTTGGAAAAACATTTCTTTTATTCTCCTACATTATTAAGATTTTTTTAAAAAACAACAAACATGTCTAATATGTTAAAAACACAAAGCTTTTGGGCTGGGTGTGGTGGCCCACACTTGTAATCCCAACATTTTGGGAGGCCTAGGTGGGTGGATCACCTTAGGTCAGGAGTTCAAGACCAGCCTGGCCAACATGGTGAAACCCCATCTCTACTAAAAATACAAAAGCTAGCCAGGTGTGGGGGTGGGTACCTGTAATCCCAGGTATTCAGGAGGCTGAGGCAGGAGAATAACTTGAACCTGTGAGGTGGAAGTTGCTGTGAGCCAAGCTCACGCCACCGCACTCCAGCCTGGGTGACACAGTGAGACTCCATCTCAAAAAAATAAAACAAAATAGTCAAAAGTAAATAAAAACACAAAGCTTTCAACTTAATCAGCACTCAAAGCTCTTTCTGGTTTAAAGTATACACAAGGTCTATTTTTCTAGAATCACCTGACCTCTCTAAGCCTTGCAAATGAAACTGAATTTCTCACTTGATACTTGCCTGTGACTTGCAATCATGAAAACCAAGAACTGTGTTATGTCACTGTGTATTGCTTGTTACATTACACAGTGAGTTCCACACTAGGCTGAGATCAAGGGTTGAATCTTTCACGATTTGCCCCATAACCTGTGAGCTTCTTTTCCCACACTAAACTAAGCTTTTTTCTAGAGTTCTACAATTTACAGTTAGTAGACAAGAGTGGTTCTCAAAAATGTAGTCTCTGGACTAGCAGCACCAGCAGAACCTGAGAAGTTTTTATAAGTGCAAATTCTCAGGCTTCACCCTGGACCTTGTGAAAGAGAAACTCTGGAGTAGGGCTCAGCAATCTGTGCTGTAGTAATCCCTCCAGGTGTTTAAAAACCTCTGGCATACAGCAGGTAGAAAAATGTGTTTCCTTCTGTAAGTCCAAAGCCAGGGATACCATGTGTTCTGTCTTGATATGAAACCATGATATGCAATTAAAACACATAAATCTCCTTCCTACTCCCACCCTCCATCCAATGTGTTTTATTTTTATGAGTTAAATAAGAAAACAAGTGGCAATCAGAGATTCAGTCTAAAAAGTATATTTACAAGTGTTAGTTCTCATCCAGCCTGATCTCATACAACACCATTTACACCCTTTTACCTCTCAAGTTTTTTTTTTTTTTTTTTTTTTTGAGACGGAGTCTCGGTCTGTCGCCCAGGCTGGAGTGCAGTGGCCGGATCTCAGCTCACTGCAAGCTCCGCCTCCCGGGTTCATGCCATTCTCCTGCCTCAGCCTCCCGAGTAGCTGGGACTACAGGCGCCCGCCGCCTCGCCCGGCTAGTTTTTTGTATTTTTTTTTTTAGTAGAGACGGGGTTTCACTGGGTTAGCCAGGATGGTCTCGATCTCCTGACCTCGTGATCCGCCGGTCTCGGCCTCCCAAAGTGCTGGGATTACAGGCTTGAGCCACCGTGCCCGGCCTACCTCTCAAGTTTTAAAAAAGTATCTTCACAATGTAAGTCTCAGGCAAACTAGCAGTTCTATAATAAAACGCCAAGTAGATGGGAATGTCCAAACTTACTAGAGAAGAAAAGTGGAATCATTGGCTGTATTTTCAAATTGCATTCAACAGGAAATGTAAGTTTTGAATTCTTTTCACCTTCATACTTCCAAGTTAATAGAATTAAATTAGAATACTCCATGCTTTCACAGCCTCTAGCCAGGCAAAGTTTTACTGTACTACTTCTTGCTTTCCATAGATATAAAGCAGAGTCCTGGTAGGCACATTTTGTATGCCTGCAAAGATGCAGAACTAGAGTTCCATCTGTTCAATATTAAAACAAAAGTCCTGTAAACCTTGGATGGTGAGTGTAATACTTCAGCACTAGCACCAAAGCCTCAAATATGAAAAGATACCAAGAACATCACTAGCAAACAAAACTAAACTCTCAGCCAGGAGCAGTAGTTCACACCTGTAATCCCAGCACTTTGGCAAGCCAAGGTGGGAGGATTATTTGAAGTCAGGAGTTCAAGACTAGCCTGGACAGCACAGCAAATTCACATCTTCACAAAAAAAAAAAAAATTTTTAAATTAGCTGGGCATGGTGGCACACACCTGTAGTCCTAGCTATTTGGCAGGCTGAGGTGGGAAAATTGCTTGAGCCCAGCTGTTTGAGGCTGTAGTAGCTATGATTATGGCACTGCACCCAAGCCTGGGTGACAGAATGAGACTTAAATACATTCTCTCCTGCTCCTGTTTACACTAAAATCACTAAGTTGAAATATTTTCAAATTTGGCAGGATGAAAATTAAGTGAAATGTGACTTTGGAGTTTGGTTAGCAAAAGCAAAGGAAAGGAAAGGAAAGGAAAAAAGAAAAGAAGGAAAAGAAAAGAAAGAAAAAAGAAAAGAAGAAAGGAAATCAAGTAAAATGACAAACTACTTACTGGGAGAAAGTTTTTGTAACCTCAATGACAGATAAAAGGTTTGTATCCTTAGTCTGTAAAGAAATCTTTAAAATTACCGAGAAAAAACAAATGATTTTCAACAGAAAATGGGCAATGGAGAAACAGGCACTTCTCACACGAATAAAAATGACCAATAGGCATATGAAAAACATTCAAAAGCACTAGAAATCAAAGAAATGTCATGAAAACAAAGAGATTTGCTGTATAAAGGCAGGAAAGATGACAATGGAAGGGGGAACCTGGAGCTCTGTCCTTGTTGGTGGGAGTACAACCTGAGTCATTTTTCCTGAAGGATAATTTGAAAATTTCTATTAAAAACCCCAAAAATTATTTTCTCCAGAAATTCTACTTCTATGGTTTTAGTCCAAAAATACTTGCTCGAGTCCATTAAAATGTATATATAAGAAAATTCACCTCTGGTGTGGCAATGATTATTAACTTAATATACATCCAGCTATTAAAAATGATGATGCCAGGATATATTTACTGCCACAGAAATATGCCTAAAATATAGTAAGCGACAAAAGACTATATACTACTGTTCTAGTTTTTAAAAGGCTTATATGCATAAAAAAGTATAAAAAGTAACAAACCAGAATGTTTTGAATGGCAAATTAAAGATTTTTCTTAATATTTGTCATCCAAATTATTACAAAAATAATGTGATTTCCTTTATAATCAGGGAGAAGTGTTATTTTCATTTATTTATATTTAAATCTCTTTTCTTTTTCTTATTTTTTTTCCTGTATGTATCCCATGTAGGCTGGAATCCCTGCCTCTTGAGGTAAATCAGCCCATTTTTGGGAAGTGCACTACATAAAGCTGCCCCATCTTCCTTTTATTTTAAGAGATCTGGAGGCATTTTTGTTTCAAATTGCTTTATTTTTCTCAGAGTACTTTTTTTTAAATATATGAAATTGAGGAAAAGACAAAGGAAAGGCTGACTCCCTACCCTCCTGGGGCTACTCTTCCAATTTTTGCTGCTATTGTTATGTATTAATATTCACTGGGTACTAAAAACATGGGTAGCCCCTTAGATCCTTTTTTCTTATTTCTTTCTCATAATCCTACTTCATTCCTTCATTCACTTATTTTTAAAAGTGTCATGTGTACAAATACATTGTTCAGAAAATGTTTAAATATAACTATCTATAAAAGTATGTGGCAAAATCCCATTCACTGTCTTACTCTCCTTGCACAGCCAACAATTTTCATTGGTTTCCTATATATCATTTCAGAATTTATCTTTGCAAATACAAGTATATGTTCTTATTCTACTCTTCTCTCTCAACACAAAAAGTAGCATACCATACATACTATACCATTCCTTGTTCCTTTTACAAAACACACACAATGTATCTGAGTTCTTCTACATGAGCACAGAGGTCTTTCTCATTCTTCTTTACAACTGCACAGCATTCTTCATTTGGAGGTAGCACAGTTGGTGGACACTGAAGTCATCCTTATCATATTATTACAAACAACAATGCCAAGCATAACCACCCACACACACCAAGTTCATTTCTGAATCTGCCTTTGATGAAGCCTCTATTTGAATCACCACAAGGTCACAAGGCTGAAAAGTTAGCCCCTTTTTAAGTTTTCATTATGTACAGCAGTATATAGCAAAAGACTCCCTTGGGCAAAGCAAATGTACTCTTTGGGGATTTACTTCATAACAATACATGAATAAACAGAACATCAAAGAGAACCATTTCTATTTAACCATGCACATGTATGTATACATTACATGCATATGCATAGAAAGTATACAATAAATCCATCAAAGCACTAAGCATTGTCTCAGTATGGTGGATCTATGGAGTGCTTTGTAGACCACCCTCCTTGCCTATCAATTCTTTCTAATTTCACAACAGTGAATATGTACTATTTTTGTGATATAAAACTTCAAAAAAATGTTAACTCAAATTAAGCTGTATACATTCCTTCAGTCTGTCCTATATTTGTATGGTACTCCAGAGTGCTCAAATATCACTTCACTAAAAAAAAATTATTTATTTTTTTCAAATATAGAGACAGGCAGGGCCTTGCTCTGTCAACCAGGCTGGTCTTGAACTCCTAGATCCTCCTGGATCCTCCCACTTCCACCCCACAAAGTGCCAGTATT